AGAATGCCGTCAACGTGCTAAGCACGTTTCGTATCCACCCTTGGCTCTGGCATCTCTCAGAGTGACTGGTAAACCGATGTGGTGTTACTTATAGCTGAGGCGATGTTACCAGTAGCATCACATTGGGGTGACAACGCAGCACCAGCTAGTTTTGAAATTTGGTGGCATCTTTGTATCCTATCATCATTTCCCCTATGTTACCCGCTCACATCTAGCTGCCTGCAGTTGCCTCGCTCTTTCTTTGCATCGGATGGCATGCACTGCTCGTGCTTGCTCACATCCTGCCTGGGAAGGACCATGTAGTTTAGTGACTGCAAACCTACCGCAGGAGGTGTCTTTTACAGGCGAGGAGGATGCTATCATAATCAAAACATCATCTCCAGATGATACTGCAGCACCGACCGGTATCTGTGCCGGTAGCAGTCAATTTCTGCTATCACTCTATCGCACTCAGGAGTCGATTCCCGGAGGGACAGATACACAACCACAAAGACTGACATACACACATACAAAACGACACCCCAAGATTGTGGTTTATGGAATAGAGTGATTAGCTTGTGGTCAAAATGGAAGCATATTCTACTGTATGCTGCTAACCGATTGCGTTCTATCACATTCAGTAAGAAATCTCTTAGAACTGTGTCTAAAGCACTTTTATTACAGTGCAGGTGGGGCAGGGGCATCTTGTGAGGTTCTGTCATATAATATCCTGGACAGGGAGTGGCTTCTGCCACTATGATAGTGGACTCTATTGGAAACTTTAGCAGATCTTCTGGTGATTGTGTTTGTCTCTCACTCTATGGCTCTTTTTCATCTACTCTCCTGCTTCTTTTTTGCCCTAAAGTTGCTAACCGGGATCTTCTCGCGTGGTTATGATTAGTTCCTTTTGCAGCCTTCGTTTTGCTCAAAGAAATTTGTTCCCACTTACTGCGGATTCCATCTTTCTCACGCCCTAAGCTCAAATTAAGCCAAGAACTCGTTCGAAAGTTCCGTGTTAGTGTTTTCTAGGATACCTCAGAAAAGTAAAGATTACTTTTAAGATAGTGCCAAGATGAATGCCTGCAGGCGCATTTCATGATTGCGAGTGGTATACAGTTGAGATAAAGTATAGAGCTGGCAATAACTGAATGATTCTCTAAGGAGAAAACCAAGGAGAAGAACGATCAAAGATATCCTCGGTAAACCCCCCTCCCCCGCCTCCCCGCCCTCCCTTGTGGCAGTTGGTTTTGTCGGATATGCCAAAAAAAGGGAAAAGAAATGAGACTGACACTGTGCGTAGTCAGTTCCGCGTTGCGGCCAAGCATCCAGGAAGCACAGCATTGATTCGGTAGTCGACATGACCTGCCCAGCGCCTGCTTAACCAGATAGGTCCTGTTGCAGAAGCTGTGCACGTGTGCTCTTGTCATCGCCTCTTTTGCCGCCATCGCCGCAACGTGGAATGAGCGATATTGCCTGGCCAAGAGATTAGGGACGAATGATGATTGGACCCATGAAAAGCAGGACGATAAGCACATGCATATCTCTGCCAACATGGACAGACTTTTCCTACTGGGTCTAATTCATGATAAGCTTTGAGCGCGCTTGGCGCTCATTTTTGCGTCACGCGTGAGTCTACATCTCGTACATCAAAATGGCTAATCCGGGATTGTGCTACAATATTGATGCTTATTAACATCGCAAAACTCTTCACATCTCAGTGCGGATATTGAATAACGACGGATGTAATCACGAACATCGAATCCGCCGGCGTATATCACGTTGTGAGAGCCCCCGGCCATATCATTAATCTTGTTCTTTCGACTCTCGTATTCATGGCTATTAGCTCCAACAACAACGTATATAATCCTATTCCCGTCAGATCGCACCTGAAAATAGCGGTTCATTCAGTCACTTATTCTTAGCCTCTAGACATCCAGTACTCACCTTACGTGCTTCATCTTCTTGAGAGAAACTCAGCATATGTTGCTGCTTCTGATCACACTGTGGTGCACCTTGCACAAGAGTCGGGACCGGGATACTGGGGAAAGTGTAGGGGCCGATTCCGGGAATCTGGATTGTTTGACCCTGTTGCCATTGCAGTTGAATGGAAGGGAAGCCAAAATTGAAACAGCCTGGTCCCGTATCACGATCGCCGTCTGACACCAAGATGACAAATCGTTCGGTCCACTTGTGCTTCTGAAACAATTCAGTTAATCTCAAATAACTAAACCCAATGAACTTCTTGATGAGGTAAGAAACTCATTTAACTAGGGAAGTCGCTCAAGATATGGAGCGCTTTTTTAAAACGATTTTTCGCATCAAGTGCGTGGTCCACCAAACTAACGTTCATTTTTTCTGAGCGCCTGTATGTAGCCCTTCAGTGTATGCTGGTGCATGTGTAATAAATGATCGGATCGCTCAGTGGTTATAGTGCAGGATTCTCGTTCACAGAGTCGAAATCAGAGTCAGTCAGGACTTCTTGCAGCCCATTTATGGGCACATTTTTAGTGTTCGTACCCCGCGAGTAGGTGCAATTTAACTAATACAATTTTCGAATACCACTAACAAGCGAGATTGTTGCTGAAAACTTTGTAAGCGAGGTTGTTGCTGAAAACAAGTTGTTATACCTTAAACAGTGGTCTGATCATAGATACGGCACATAACTTCAGTAGTAGTGCTATTTGTCACCAATTTGGATCCACATTTTCTCCTACTGAATCCATCATGCACTCGTATAAGGGCGTTCAGCGCTATTCCGACGTCAAATTGGACACCGGAAATCTATGTCAGAACAGTGACCAGGATCGTGCAGGCGGAGTTTCGCCCAAAAATTTTTTTTACTTTCTTGGCTTTTGGGTTGTGTACGCGAGTCTCTCTACGGAGTCGTATTTGCCTTCATTCTTCCCGTTCGTTAATATTAGGTTGTCCGGAAAGTTCTCAGCGTTTTGGGTGTTTCACTTTAAACGATCGTAACTTTTTTAATACTCATCGGATTTAATCGAAATAGGCACCATTCGAATCAGCACACTTTTGCCAATGTGACAGCAGTCGAGAAATCCCATCAAAGTAAAAAACTGGGTGGTCGAAAATTCACGAAATCCACTAAGGCTTTTTTGCCTGGTCCTGATTGATGAAGTATTTTCCAGCAAGGGAGTTCTGAAAATGTTAGAAAAGGTGATAGTCGGTTGGCGAAAGGTCTGAAGAATATGGCGGTTGAGGTAGAACTTCAACCCCCAATTCGTTCAATTTATGGATAGTGATTTGTGAAACGTGTGGGCGGGCGTTGTCATGCAAAGGAATCGGACCCTTTCTTTTGATAAGTGTTGGCTGCATCTGACAAAATTTTCGGTACAATTCGTCGATTTCTTCACAGTAGGGTTCTGCTGTGATGGTTTGGCCTGGTGATAAAAAGTTATAGTGGATCACACCAGCCGATGACCACCAAGCCGTGACCAGAATCTTTTTTTCGTGAGGGTTCGGCTTTGAAAATTACCTCGGTGGTTCGTCGAAATCCAACCACTGTCCGGAACGTCTCCTGTTATCATACATGACCCATTTTTCATCACAGGTGACAATTCGGCCCAAAAACAGGTCGTTTCTGCTGCGCAAAAGCAATGCAGAAGGAACCTCGAGACGTGCCGATTCCTGCCGGTCACTGGGGCCAATTGTCGAGTTTTTTCACCTTCCCAATGCGTTCCAGACCATCTGCAACAGTGGATTTGCCAAGGCCTAGCTCTTCTGCTATCTCTCGAACTGTTTGGGATGGGTCAGCCTCCAAAATCCCCCTAAAATCCTCGTCAGATATTGCTTTAGGTCGACCGCTATGAGGTTCATCTTCAAGGCTGAAATCTCCAGAACGAAATTTGTTGAGCCATTGCCGCACAGTGCTTTCTCTAGCACTATTGGGCCCCCACACCTGGTTAATTTGTTGAGCTGTTTCGATTGCGGATTGCCCCAATTTATAGTCGAAGAAAAAAATCGTCCGAAGTGCTCTTTTCACATGCTTGAAAAAATCTTGAAAAAAGGGGGTTTAAGCAATGGTGAAACGGCAATTATACCATCAGATAGCGCAAGAAATTCTCTACAGGATGTGCTACTGAGAAGCAAGGCAGAATGAGTTTTTAATCAGCAGTGAATGTACAAAAAATAGGTGCACAAAACGCTGAGAACTTTCCGGACAACCTAATAATACCGGAGGGAATTGGGAGGCCTGTTCTTGGCCGTGGATCCTTGCGAGAAGAACGACGCAAACTCTCTGTAGTATCCACAATCCCCATCCGTAGTTCTTTTACGTAGCTGAACGTACCTGAAGACGACCCAGATCCTTTGACAGTTCTCGCTGCCTACATAACACAGAGTAACCTCCGTCTAAGCAAAACGTTTTCAGAGGAACGATTCCCACTCACCATAACTCAAGCGTCTTTGAGGCATGCATTTAAGCAGTAAAAGGAAGTAAACTGTTAGTAGTGTACAGAGTTAAATGGAACCAGTGAAGGGAAGATAGAAAGTAAGAAAATAAAAAAGGTAAGAATCAAGTGTGGGTGGTCCGTTTCGTCTCTTCCTTAGACGTATACTTTGTGTACGTTAATCTCCTGAGGGTCTTCAGTGAGTTGGAGCAGACGATAAATATGCGTATTAAGAAATTCGAATATAGCTAGGGCCCAAGATAAAGAAGCAACCAAAACAAGAAGAAGTTAAACACTGTAAAGGCGAAGAGGTTAGTAACTAGACGAATAGGTATAGGAAAAGACATCTGAAGAACCTTATAATTCTCAGAGAACAAGGATACAAAG